TAAATTATCCAGATACATATTGGGAGGCAAATTCTGCCAAGGTTGGCCCTTCCAAGAAATTCCTGGCTTGTGTGGCTGATCATTATCTCCTACAAAAAGTGCAGAAAGAAACTTGAGGGTTTGCTATCCTCGACTTGATTCTGACCAACAGAGATGACTTGGTGTTGGAAGTGGCAGGAAGGGGAACTCTTGGTGAGAGGGACCATGGCCACCTAGAATTCTTGATTTCAAAGGAGAAGAAAGCAACAGGCCACACAGGTCTGCTGGGTTTTTAAAAAAGCCAATTTTAATAATCTCAGAACAAGGATAAGTAAGATCCCACAGCAAGAGATCCTAACAAGAAAAGGAGCCCAAGAAGGGTGGGGGCTTCTAAAATAAGAAATTCTAAAGGCACCACTGCAAACAAAGAAGGCCAGGCCACCAAGGAAGAGTACAGACAAGTAGCAAGGAAATGCAGCGATGGCATTAGGAGGACAACAGCTGAGAATGAGCTGAGGTTAGCTAGGGACACTAAAAGCAATAAAAAAAAGCATTATTCAGGAATGTGAGTCACAAAAGACAAACCAAAAGCACAGTGGCACGGCTCTGCAGTGGACAGGGAAAAATGATAACAAAGGACAAAGAAAAAGCAAAGGGGGCCCCTCAATTCCTATTTTAGTTCCATCTTTTCCCATAAGACAGACGATGAGCTTCCAAACAAATGGGAATTGCGGGGCTGGGGGCTGGATTGCAGCTGGAAATAGATAAACAAATAATCAAGGAATACCTTACCACCTTTGAATGAGTTCAAATCTCCAGGGCTGGATGAACTGCATTCAAGAGTGTTGAAGGAACTGGCTGAAGAACTTTCAGAACCGCGATCCGTTATTTTATTGAAATCATGGGGAACAGATGAGGGGCCAGAGGATTGGAGGATTGTTGTCCCTATCTTCAAAAAAAAAGGGCAAAAAAGAGGAACCTGGGAACTACAGGCCAGTCAGGCTGACATCAATCCCAGGCAAAATTCTGGAACAGACCGTAAAGCGGTCATTGTGCAAGCACCTAGAAAACAAGGCAGTATTAACTAGAAGCCAACACAGATTTGTCAAGAACAAATCCTGCCAAACTAATTTGATCTCGTTTTTTGATCAGGTCACCTCTCTGATAGACAGAGGGAATGCTGTAGATGTAGTATATCTTGACTTCAGCAAAACGTTTTACAAAGTGCCCCATTGTATCCTGATTAGCAAGCTACTGTAACTAGGTTGGATAGATCAAGTGTCAGGTAGATACACAGTTGGCTGCAGAATTGTACTCAGAGGGTGATGATTAATGGGTCCTTCTCTAACTGGGAGGAGGTCACAAGTAGGGTTCCCCCAAGGCTCAGTCCTGGGCCCGGTGCTCTTCAATATCTTTATTAATGACTTGGATGAGGGAGTGCAGAAAATGCTTGTCAAATTTGCAGGTGATACCAAATTGGAATAGCTAATACCCTAGAAGACAGAAACAGAATTCAAAATGACCTTGATAGGATGGAGCACTGGACTGAAAGCAACAGAATGGCTTGTAAGGCTCTTTCAACTTCACTTTTCTATGATTCTATGATTCTAATGGCTTTTGTAGTAGCTCATTCGAACTATCCCAAGATAGCAGAAAATCCCACCCTAGTTGAACCGTAGGAGCAGCTTGATCAGGAGGGACAAACACGTCATCTGTTACCTTACGCAGGCTTCCCTATTCTTTCTGCATTTACCCATGGTCTTCCAGATGGGAATGGATTTTTTCCAGCATCAATGCCATGTAATCGACCCT